GGGTTTTATTTTCAGCTGCTGCTTTTCCACTGTCTGAAATGAACTGTAGCGTATTTAAAATATGGAAATGTGTTCGCTCCCCCTTTTCTTGTTAGTGGAAATAATTAGCTAGCCCTCCTCTCAGATCTGTTCTTGTTTTCTACAGTTTGGCTTGATCAACAAGTGGATTCTAACAGAGAGCTGCGTAGTCAACTGTCCTGTCAGCTGTGTGCTCTCTGAGTGGTCGCCGTGGGCAGAATGCTCGCACAGCTGTGGGAGTCGAGGTAAAAACATCATGAGCTAAAAAGCTTAACTTAAATTCATGGGAACAACAACCTGATAAACAGACACACGGTGGACTACATATGCAGCGCCTCATTATTCCATCTACTCAGGCACGCACCAAGATGTTGAATAGCGCATGAATACATTTAAATGCATTAAAATATTTACGCATATGTGTAATCCAATGCCTTATTATGCAGGGAAACTCTGTGCACAGGTTGTGTTTTTTTTTTTTTCAATAATGTACACATTACTATTTCCTCTTTGTTTTATATTATGCACCAAGTGTATTTATTTATTTATTTATTTTTTAATTAAGACTGGAAACTTCCTTTGTGACATTATGTTTTAACAATAGATGCGTCGCCATAAATGATTCAGTGTTCCTAAATAAAATATATAGCTATACCGCTCCATGAGTGCAAACATGCAGCTGATAATCCCCAACCAGTGACACGCTTAGTATCACTTTGTGCAAGTCGTGTTATAACCTCATGCAATATACAAAAGTTAATGATTTAACCTGAATGCATACGTTGCTTCAGCTTCCCAAAGTCAATCTCCCAAAGAGAACGCGTGTTGTTCTGCTAATTAGAGAGAGTCGGCACTGTCTTCTTCTTGTGTTTATTAATCTTAATTTGTCACTCGCTAACTTTCTACTTGCAGTTAACCCCTTATCCCAATGAGCTCACACTAGCCCAGGCTTTCATCTGGGGATTTAAACTCGAAACCCTTTCTTTCACAGCTCAGTCACTATTGCTGTGACTCTTTCTGCTACTATCACTTCACTCTCGCACATTGTGAAACGCATTTCTCCGCCTCGATGAGGGATTTGTGTCGTATCTGTGTCAGACGACGCAAGGATCTTGTTTTGTCAGGATGCCATGGGAGCGTTAATGTTTTTGGTTTGATTTTTGAGATGGCAGAGCCGGATGTCCTTTTTGCTGCATCTTCCTGCGGCTCTCGGAGCTCGGCATCTCTCCTGGCATTACATACACACACGCGCGCACGCACAACTTCTGCCAACTGGATGGCTCATGGAGGCTTACAGGACCCAGGCACAAGCTGCTTTTTTTCCTGTTGGCATTTAGCAAACTTTTCCTTTCACACATTATTAATGGCTCATTTGAATGAAGCACTTTTGTTGAAAACTGCAAAATCTGAGCATAAAGTGGCACAGTGACACAGATGTATAGTGCTGTTACACTAATTCCTCTTTGTCGTGAAGAAAATATTTTGTGAGCTAAAGAGCAGGCACAGCCTATTTTCACTACTAAATGAATCACCATCTCTCATTTCAGCCACTCATTGTATTAACAGTTGTTTTATGGAGCCTTGTGTTTGTGTAGTGATCCATTTTTGTCTCTCTCAAAGCAATTGAGAGTATGAGCTGAACTAAGAGGATCAATCCCACTATGTTGTTACTGTGTTTTAGCAATTAATGG